GATCCCTTGATCATTATGTAGTGTCCTTCTTTGTCTCTTGTAGTAGTCTTTATTTTAAAGTCTGTTTTGTCTGATATGAGAATTGCTACTCCAGCTTTCTTTTGATTTCCATTTGCATGGAATATCTTTTTCCATTCCCTCACTTTCAGTCTGTCTGTGTCCCTAGGTCTGAAGTGTGTCTCTTGTAGACAGCGTATATATAGGTCTTGTTTTTGTATCCATTCAGCCAGTCTGTGTCTTTTGGTGGGAGCATTTAATCCATTTCCATTTAAGGTAATTATCGATATGTATGTTCCTATTCCCATTTCCTTAATTGTTTTGGGTTTGTTATTGTAGGTCTTTTCCTTCTCTTGTGTTTCTTGCCTAGAGAAGTTCCTTTAGCATTTGTTGTAAAGCTGGTTTGGTGGTGCTGAACTCTCTCAGCTTTTGCTTCCCTGTAAAGGTTTTAATTTCTCCATCAAATCTGAATGAGATCCTTGCTGGGTAGAGTAATCTTGGTTGTAGGTTTTTCTCCTTCATCACTTTAAATATGTCCTGCCAGTCCCTTCTGGCTTGCAGAGTTTCTGCTGAAAGATCAGCTGTTAACCTTATGGGGATTCCCTTGTGTGTTATTTGTTGTTTTTCCCTTGCTGCTTTTAATATGTTGTCTTTATTTAATTTTTGACAGCTTGATTAATATGTGTCTTGGCATGTTTCTCCTTGGATTTATCCCGTATGGGACTGTCTGTGCTTCCTGGACTTGATTACCTATTTCCTTTCCCATATTAGGGAAGTTTTCAACTATAATCTCTTCAAATATTTTCTCAGTCCCTTTCTTTTTCTCTTCTTCTTCTGGAACCTCTATACTTCGAATGTTGGTGCGTTTAATGTTGTCCCAGAGGTCTCTGAGACTGTCCTCAGTTCTTTTCATTCTTTTTTCTTTATTCTGCTCTGCAGTAGTTATTTCCACTATTTTATCTTCCAAGTCACTTAGCCGTTCTTCTGCCTCAGTTATTCTGCTATTGATCCCATCTAGAGTATTTTTACTTTCATTTATTGTGTTGTTCATCGTGGCTTGTTTTATCTTTAGTTCTTTTAGGTCCTTGTTAAATGTTTCTTGAATTTATTCTATTTCCAAGATTTTGGATCATCTTTACTATCATTTCCTCTTCATTCCTATTTCCCCTTCATTTGTTAGGTCTGATGGGTTTTTATCTTGCTCCTTCATCTGCTGTGTGTTTTTCTGTCTTCTCATTTAGCTTATCTTACTGTGTTTGGGGTCTCCTTTTTGCAGGCTGCAGGTTCGTAGTTCCTGTTGTTTTTGGTGTCTGTCCCCAGTGGCTAAAGTTGGTTCAGTGGGTTGTGTAGGCTTCCTGGTGGAGGGGACTAGTGCCTGTGTTCTGGTGGATGATGCTGGATCTTGTCTTTCTGGTGGGCAGGTCCATGTCTGGTGGTGTGTTTTGGGGTGTCTGTGGACTTATTATGATTTTAGGCAGCCTCTCTTCTAATGGGTGGGGTTGTGTTCCTGTCTTGCTAGTTGTTTGGCATAGGGTGTTCAGCACTGTAGCTTGCTGGTCGTTGAGTGAAGCTGGGTGCTGGTGTTGAGGTGGAGATCTCTGGGAGATTTTCGCCATTTGATACTATGTGGAGCTGGGAGGTCTCTTGTGGGCCAGTGTCCTGATGTTGTCTCTCCCACGTCAGAGGCACAGCACTGACTCCTGGCTGCAGCACCAAGAGCATTTCATCCACATGGCTCAGAATAAAAGGGAGAAAAAGAAGGAAGGAAGGAAGGGAGGGAGGGAGGGAAGGAAGGAAGGAAGGGGATAAAATAAAATAAAGTTATTAAAATAAAAAATAACTGTTAAGAAAAAAAATTTTTTTAAGTAAAACAAAAACAAAACGGACAGATAGAAGCCTAGGACAAATGGTGAAAGCAAAGCTATACAGACAAAATCTCACACAGAAGCATACACATACACGCTCACAAAAAGAGGAAAAGGGGAAAAAATAATAAATCTTGCTCTCAAATTCCAGCTCCTCAATTTGGTATGATTCGTTGTATATTCACGTATTCCACAGATGCAGGGTACATCAAGTTGATTGTGGAGCTTTAATCCGCTGCTTCTGAGGCTGCTGGGAGAGATTTCCCTTTTTCCTCTTTGTTCGCACAGCTCCCGGGGCTCAGCTTTGGATTTGGCCCCGCCTCTGCGTGTAGTTCGCCGGAGGGCCTCTGTTCGCTCAAACAGGATGGGGGTTAAAGGAGCAGCTGCTTCGGGGGCTCTGGCTCACTCAGGACGGGGAGCGGGAGGGGTGCGGATGCTGGGCGAGCCTGCGGTGGCAGAGGCCGGCATGACGTTGCACCAGCCTGAGGCGCGCTATGCGTTCTCCCGGGGAAGTTGTCCCTGGATCCCGGGACCCTGGCAGTGGCGGGCTGCACAGGCTCCCCGGAAGAGGGGTGTGGAGAGTGACCTGTGCTCGCACAGGCTTCTTGGTGGCGGCAGCAGCAGCCTTAGCGTCTTCATGCCCGTCTTTGGGGTCCGCGCTGTTAACCGCGGCTCGTGCCCGTCTCTGGAGCTCCTTTAAGCAGCGCTCTTAATCCCCTCTCCTCGCGCAGCAGGAAACAAAGAGGGAAGAAAAAGTCTCTTCCCTCTTCGGCAGGTCCAGACTTTTCCCCAGACTCCCTCCCGGCTAGCCGTGGTGCACTAGCCCCTTCAGGCAGTGTTCACGCCGCCAACCCCTGCACTCCAACCGAAGCCCGGGCCTCAGCTCCCAGCCCCGCCCGCCCCGTCGGGTGAGCAGACAAGCCTCTCGCGCTGGTGAGTGCTGGTCGGCACCGATCCTCTGTGCGGGAATCTCTCGGCTTTGCCCTCCGCACCCCTGTTGCTGTGCTCTCCTCCTCGGCTCCGAAGTTTTCCCCCTCCGCCACCCTCAGTCTCCGCCCGCAAAGGGGCTTCCTAGTGTGTGGAAATCTTTCCTCCTTCACAGCTCCCTCCCACTGGTGCAGGTCCCATCCCTATTCTTTGTTTATTCTTTTTTTTTTTCATTTGCCCTACCCAGGTACGTGGGGGAGTTTCTTGCCTTTTGGGAGGTCTGAGGTCTTCTTCCAGCGTTCAGTAGGTGTTCTGTAGGAGTTGTTCCACGTGTAGATGTATTTCTGGTGTCTCTGTGGGGAGGAAGGTGATCGCCGCGTCTTACTCTTCCGTCATCTTCCCCCCACCCCCGGTCCAGGCACTTGTTTCTTAATGCAATTTGTTACTTTTGTGAAGATATCTTTAGTGGGGTTTGCTTTCTGAGAGAGTTGCATGTGTTCTAGATGAGTAAATCCCTAAGTGTGGTTTTGCATTTAACTTTATTAGCTTATCAGAGTTTTCACTGGTTCTAATCCAACTTACTGTATTAAAGTTTTGGCATAGTGTCCCTGTACCATCTGGGTAAGATGAACTTGGAGTACACTCCTATGTGCTCTGATTACTCACAAGAGAATCTTTTCCACACACGGCTCTAGTTTCATTTCCATTCACCTAAGGTTATGGGTAGTGTTTTTGTGGTCTGTGGTTCACAGGTGTAGCCCTTCGTGACTCTCTCATGTGCATCAGTTTCTAGCTGTTAAGCTGTTTTGGCTTCTGTTCCTGTTTACTGCTCTCATTTTTAGTTGCTGCTTTATTTTTAGTGCCAGGGTATTTTCCCTGCCTAAGTTTAAGTTTAGCAATATTTCGTTCATTATATTTTATCCAGATTTCTATGGGTTTTGGAGCAGAAGAATAGCCTTTTGATTTATCTCAGCCTGCTATATTGACCAGAAACCTCTATTGGTTCTTGTTAAGGAAATGTGAAAAATCAGGTAAAGGCATCTTGAATACAACTTTAAGTCTTTATTAGATATTTTTATTTTGATTAACTTATCCTAAGATATAAAAATATTTCTTAAAACATCAGAGTTTTTTAAGAAGGGATGTGATACTGCTTTTTTTCTTCCTGGGGGTGGGAGTCATCACTGGTTTGTGGTACTTCTGAATCACATATCTAAAAAAACAAGGTATCTCATTTAAAAAATTGCTCTGCATATTTTCTTCATAAAACTTCAGAAGAGCCTAGATAGTCTAGAAATGTGATGTACAAATAGAATTTAAAAGTTACGTGCTTTTGAAGTTGTTTATTATAATGTTAACCTTTAAAACTGAGAAGTGGACTTCAACTAACAGGGAGAACAGCTTAGTACATTATGTTAACTTCAACTCTAGAATATTTCATAGCCATTTAAGGCACTAATTATAAAAATTATATAGAGATAAATATATTCCATCTGTACTGTTACGGTAGAACAGTACAAAATTGTGTGTGTGCCTACATATGAAAATTAGAAGGGAATTTTAAAAATGATTGGATGATGGTGGTAGGATGATGAGCAATTTTTTCTTTAAAAACGGTTTCCCGCAATGGCATTGCTATTCTTACAGTCTTAATGGGACTAAATAGTATTCCTATTCTTTGCTAGATTCCAAATAGATTGAAAAAAAAAAAGGAGTGGCAGGTGTAGGTGAAAGTAATCACCTGTATTCCTGATGAAGCTGATATTGAAGTATGTAGCTGAGGTATGAGCCACCTCAGGTCTGCTCACTAAACCCCAGATATACCTCCCCAGTCACCTGAACACCCCTGATTAAATCAGCCCCCTCCACACCCCACCCCACTCCTGTTCCCAATTGGAGTTGATCCCAAGAACATGGAGAGTGGAACTGAGTTGAACCCACCCAGTTTATTCTTCCCAAATAAATCATTCCACCTGAAGTAATGGCCAGGGAGAGGCTAGGAGTTACATGGTTTGAGCTTCCACCAGGAAGAAGAAGGATCATGGGGATTGGAGATAAGCTTTGTAATAGTTGTGTTAATTTTCAAATAAAAATGTCATGTGTATGTTTTGGCATTTATTGATTAGCTAAATTGTAGTTATTGAAATTTAATTACTTTTATTTTTGTGTTACAATCTTCAGTCTATCACAATTATTATTTTCTCCTTTTAGGCGTTTAAATGCAGAATTAGAGGCAAAAACGGCTGATCTGGTTCGACAAGCTGAGGAAGTAATAGTAAGTGAATGTACAATTAATAGTAATTCCATGTAAGTGCTGGTGTTTTTTGTTTTTTTTTTTAAATTTATTTATTTATTTATTTATGGCTGTGTTGGGTCTTAGTTTCTGTGCGAGGGCTTTCTCTAGTTGCGGCGAGCGGGGGCCACTCTTCATCGCGGTGCGCGGGCCTCTCACTGTCGCGGCCTTCTCTTGTTGCAGAGCACAGGCTCCAGTCGCGCAGGCTCAGTAGCTGTGGCGCACGGGCTTAGTTGCTCCGCGGCATGTGGGATCTTCAGGCAGATTCTCAACCACTGCACCACCAGGGAAGCCCAGTGCTAGTTTTTTAACTTTAATTTGATGTGTAACATACATGCAAAAAAGTGCCCAAAGCATAAATTTTCAGCTCAGTGAATTATCATAAATTGAACATCAATATATGCATAAGTATGTGTATACATGCATGTATATGTTTTTGATAAGCACACTTTTTTAAAAAAAATTATTTATTTTTGGCTGCATTGGGTCTTCGTTGCGGTGCGTGGGCTTCTCATTGCAGTGGCTTCTCTTGTTGTGGAGCACAGGCTCTGGAGCATAGGCTCAGTAGTTGTGGCACACGGGCTTAGTTGTTCCACGGCATGTGCGACCTTCCTGGACCAGGGCTCGAACCTGTGTCCCCTGCATTGGCAGGTGGATTCTTAACCACTGCGCCACCAGGGAAGCCCAGCACACGTTTTCTAAAAGCCACTGAAAAAGTGTTTTCCATTTAGATATTCCAATCATCTAATTAATAGGAACATTAATATTGAACGGTATTTCCCACTGTTTTAAGATTAATATTTGCAAGTAGCTATATAGAATTAGTACTGGTAATTCAGTAAGGATAGAAATAAAATGGTCTTTGGACAGAAGCTGAATAAAGGTTAACAACTACCATTAATGCTCAGATGGTAATCCGTTTCTTAAACTCTGCAGTTGGATATAACTCAGATTCTTAGGGCTAGACCATAATCAGATTTATAGTCAGGAAAAATGTAGTGAGGTTACATCACTAGACAATGTAAGCATATTTGCCCCATTCTGGCTACCAAATTGGTTATTCCTACTTTAAGCATCCCTCCCTAAGTATCAGCATTCCCAATATTAGTTGATAGGATATAGTAATATTCCTTAGAGGAATAAAGTAGCTGCTTTCAAACTTTTTAAATTTTTTATTCTAATTCATTTATAATTCTCTTTCATTTAAATCCCACCCCCACCCCACTTCGGAGTTGATGGAGGCAGGGAAGAATAGGCAATATTTTAATGTCTTAGACAGATCCGTCATTATTTGTTAGTTTAGGAAAGGGAATATTTAGATAATGGTTACAGATTTACTAGTTGCATTTGTAATTAAATATTTTACTAAAAAATAAACATTTTATTACATCTTTTAGTTTTTGTCAGTGTCTGAAGAGCAGGAAAATAATTTTTCTGAAAATAATGTTCAGAAACTCAATGTTATGGTAGAGTGAGTGATTCATTATGTATTCTGATCAGAGTCCTCTAATGGATATAACTTTTGCCACATTGAATTTTTGTTTTTTCACTTTCATATTAATACATCTTCTCCAAAAGCTTTCACTCTTAGTGCTTCATTTTTAGCACTTTCATTTCTATGTGGTCGTCTTAACATTGAAGTTTTTATGATTTGAGACAAGTTTTTCTATCCATTAAATGGATTTATGTTTCCACGTCTTGTGAACCTTATTTCCTTTGCATGTTACAGAAGATGGAAGCTCTAATGTAGTTGGGAAGCAGGAGTCAGCTAAGATCATATAAAGGCATTGGCATTCTTACAATTTTGCCTTAGAACTGACTCTTTTAACCAAGAATGAGTGAAAGGGTGAAACTACATTGTTACAGATCTTATTTTGATACCATAGCTTTTAGAATTCTGTGCTTTGATTTTATAGAAATTGTGGACAACTCTGAAATAATTAATGATCAGAAAGGCACTTGAATATATCCTAGTTTTGTACATTATTTTCCTACATGACTTTGTTTTATTTAACTAGAGAGATCAGCAAGAAGTACGATCTCAGTCTATTTCAACACAAATTAAATCATATGAAGAGGAAGATGATTACAGTTTAAGGTAAGACTTAAATTCCCAAACACCTTAAAAATTTTTTCTTTTTACTGGGTAAATGCTTTAAGATTGTTTTCTGTTGTTTTTTTTTAATTAAGGTATATTTGACATACAACATTATATTGGTTTTAGGTGTACAACACAATGATTCAGTATTTGTATATATTGTGAAATGGTCACCACAGTAAGTATAGTTACTATCCATTACCATACATAGTTACAGAATCTTTTTTCCCTGTGATGAAAACTTTTAAGATCTAATTTTTTAGCAGCTTTCAAATATGCCATTAGTATTGTTAAGTATAGTCTCCATGCTGTACAGTACATCCCCATGACTTACTTATTTTATAATTGGAAATTTGTACCCTTTGACTCCTTTCACCTATTTCGCCTGCTCCCAACCAACCAGCCTCTGGCAACCATCAATCTGTTCTCTGTATCTATAGGCTTGTTTTTATTTGTCTGTTTTTAGATTCCACGTACAAGTGAGATCACTTATTTGTCTTTGTCTTTCTGTGACTTATTTCACTTAGCATAATGCCCTCGAGGTCCATCCATGTTGTCAAAATGGCAAGATTTCATTCTTTTTTTATGGCTCAGTAATAGTTATATATATAAAAATATCATTTTATATAATACTTTAACATATATATATAAAAGCACATGTTCTTTTCTCATTCATCCATTGATGGACATTTAGGTTGTTTCCATATCTGGCCTATTGTAAATAATGTTGCAATGAACATGGAGGTGCATATATGTATAAAAAAAAGTGTTTTCATTTTCTTCAGATAAATACCCAGAAATGGGGTTGCTGGATCATATGACAGTTCTCTTTTTAATATATTTTTTCTTTTTTCTTTTTTTTTAATAGATCTTTATTGGCATGTAATTGCTTCACAATACCATGTTAGTTTCTGTTGCATAACAAAGTGAATCAGCCATATGCATACATGTGTCCCCATATCCCCTCTCTCTTGAGCCTCCCTCTCATCCTCCCTATCGCACCCCTCTAGGTCATCACATAGCACCGAGCTCATCTCCCTGTGCTATGCTGCTGCTTCCCACCAGCCAACTGTTTTACATTCAGTAGTGTATATATGTCGATGCTACTCTCACTTCACCCCAGCTTCGCACTCCTACCCCATGTCATCAGGTCCATTCTCTATGTCTGCCTCTTTATTTCTACCCTGCAACTAGGTTCATCCATACCATTTTTTTTTTTTTTTTTAGAATCTATATATATGCGTTAGCATATGGTATTTGTTTTTCTCTTTCTGACTTACTTCTTTCTGTATGACAGACTCTAGGTCCATACACCTCACTACAAATAACTCAATTTTGTTTCTCTTTATGGCTGAGTAATATTTCATTTTATGTATGTGCCACATCTTCTTTATCCATCCCTCTGTCGATGGACACTTAGGTTGCTTCCATGTCCTGGCTATTGTAAATAGTGCTGCAGTGAACATTGTGGTGCTTGTCTCTTTTTGAATTATGGTTTTCTCAGGGTATATACCCAGCAGTGGGATTGCTGGGTCATATGGTAGTTCCATTTTTAGTTTTTTAGGGAACCTCCATACTGTTCTCCATAGTGGCTGTATCAATTTACATTCCCACCAACAGTGTAGAAGGGTTCCATTTTCACCACACCCTTTCCAGCATTTATTGTTTCTAGCTTGTTTGTTAATGGCCATTCTGACCAGCGTGAGGTGATACCTCATTGTAGTTTTCATTTGCATTTTTCTAATAATTAGTGATGTTGAGCATCTTTCATGGGCCTCTTGGCCATCTGTATGTCTTCCTTGATGAAATGTCTATTTAGGTCTTCTGCCCATTTTTTAACTAGGTTGTTTGTTTTTTTGATATTGAGCTCCATGAGTTGTTTGTATATTTTGGAGATTAATCCTTTGTCTGTTGTTTCATTTGCAAATATTTTCTCCCATTTTGAGGGTTGTCTTTTTGTTTATGGTTTCCTTTGCTGTGCAAAAGCTTTTAAGTTTAATTAAGTCCCATTTGTTGATTTTTATTTCTGTTACTCTAGGAGGTGGGTCAAAAGAGATATTGCTGTGGTTTATATCAAAGAGTGTTTTTCCTATGTTTTGCTCTAAAAGTTTTATAGTGTCTGGTCTTATATTTAAGTCTTTAATCCGTTTGGAGTTTATTTTTATGTATGGTGTTAGAGTGTTCTAATTTCATTCTTTTACATGTAGCTGTCCAGTTTTCCCAGCACCACTTATTGAAGAGGCTGTCTTTTCTCCATTGTATGTTCATGCCTCCTTTGTCGTAAATTAGGTGCCCATATGTGTGTGGGTTTATCTCTGGGCATTCTATCCTGTACCATTGATTTGTATTTCTGTTTCTCTGCCAGTAACATACTGTCTTGATTACTGTAGCTTTGTGGTATAGTTTGAAGTTGGGGAGCCTGATTCCTCCAACTCTTTTTCTTTCTCAAGATTGCTTTGGCTATTCGGGGTCTTTTGTGTTTCCATATGAATTGTAAGATTTTTTGTTCTAATTCTGTGAAGAATGCCATTAGTAGTTTGATAGGGATTGCATTGAATCTGTAGATTGTTTTGGGTAGTATAGTCATTTTCACAATATTGATTCTTCCAATCCAAGAACATGGTATATTTCTCCATCTGTTTGTGTCATCTTTGATTTCTTTCATCAGTGTTTTATACTTTTCTGAGTACAGGTCTTTCGCCTCTTCAGGCAGGCTTATTCCTAGGTATTTTATTCTTTTTGTGACAATGGTAAATGGGAGTGTTTCCTTAATTTCTCTTTCTTATTTTTTGTTGTTGGTGTATAGGAATGCCAGAGATTTCTGTGTGTTAATTTTGTATCCTGCAACCTTACCAAATTCATTGATTAGTTCTAGTAGTTTTCCAGTGACATCTTTAAGATTTTCTATGTATAGTATTGTGTCATCAAAAAATAGTGACAGTTTTACTTCTTCTTTTCCAACTTGTATTCCTTTTATTTCTTTTTCTTCTCTGATTGCTGTGGCTAGGACTTCCAAAACTATGTTGAATAATAGTGGTGAGGGTGGGCATCCTTGTCTTGTTCCTGATCTTAGAGGAAATGCGTTCAGTTTTTCACCATTGAGAATGATGTTTGCTGTGGGTTTGTCATATATGGCCTTTATTATGTTGAGGTAGCTTCCCTCTAGGCCCACTTTCTGGAGAGTTTTTATCATAAATGGGTGTTGAATTTTCTTAAAAGCTTTTTCTGCATCTATTGAGATGATCATATGGTTTTTATTCTTTAATTTGTTAATATAGTGTATCACATTGATTGATTTGTGTATATTGAAGAATCCTTGCATCCCTGTGTTAAATCCCACTTGATCATGGTGTATGATCCTTTTATTGTGTTGTTGGATTCTGTTTGCTAGTATTTTGTTGAGGATTTTTGCATCTATATTCATCAGTGATATTGGTCTGTAATTTTCTTTTTTTGTAGCATATTTTTCTGGTTTTGGTATCACACTGATGGTGGCCTTGTAGAATGAATTTGGGAGTGTTCCTTCCTCTGCAGTTTTTTGGAAGAGTTTGAGAAGGATGGGTGTTAGGTCTTCTCTAAATGTTTGATAGAATTCACCTGTGAAGCCATCTGGTCCTGGACTTTTGTTTGTTGGAAGATTTTTAATTACAGTTTCAATTTCATTACTTGTGATAGGTCTGTTTAATTCTTCCTGGTTCAGTCTTGGGAAATTGTTCCATTCCAAGATTTTGTCCGTTTCTTTGTGGTTGTCCATTTTATTGGCATATAGTTGTTTGTAGTAGTCTTTTATAATCCTTTGTATTTCTGCAGTGTCAGTTATGATTTCTCCTTTTTCATTTCTAATTTTATTGATTTGCATCCTCTCCCTTTTTTTCTTGATGAGTCTGGCTAAGGTTTTCTCAATTTTGTTTACCTTCTCAAAGAACCAGCTTTTAGTTTTATTGATCTTTGCTATTGTTTTCTTTATTTCTATTTCATTTATTTCTACTCTGATCTTTATGATTTCTTTCCTTCTACTGACTTTAGGTTTTCTTTGTTTTTCTTTCTCTAGTTGTTTTAAGTGTAGGCTAGATTGTTTATTTGAGATTTTTCTTGTTTCTTGAGGTGAGATTGAATTGCTCTCAACGTCCTTCTTAGAACTGCTTTTGCTGCATCCCATAGGTTTTGGGTCATCATGTTTTCATTGTCATTTGTGTCTATGTATTTTTTATTTCTTCTTTGATTTCTTCAGTAATCTCTTGGTTATTTAGTAGCGCACTGTTTAGCCTCCATGTATTTGTGGTTTTTACAGTTTTTTTCCTGTAATTGATTTCCAATCTCATAGCATTGTGGTCAGAAAAGATGCTTGATACAATTTCAGTTTTCTTAAATTTTCCAAGGCTTGATTTGTGACCCAAGATGTGCTATATCCTGGAGAATGTTCCATGTGCACTTGAGAAGAAAGTGTATTCTGCCAGTTTTGGGTGGAATGTTCTGTAATTATCAATTAGATCTATCCGGTGTATTGTGTCATTTAAAGCTTGTGTTTCCTCATTTATTTTCTGTTTGGATGATCTGTCCATTGGTATAAGTGGGTGTAAAATCCCCTACTGTTATTATGTTACTGTCAATTTCTTCTTTCATGGTTAACATTTGCCTTATGTATTGAGGTGCTCCTAAGTTGGGTGCATAAACAATTATAATTATTGTATCTTCTTGGAATGATCCCTTGATCATTATGTAGTGTCCTTCTTTGTCTCTTGTAATAATCTTTATTTTAAAGTCCATTTTGTCTGATATGAGAATTGCTACTCCAACTTTCTTTTGATTTCCATTTGCACGGAATATCTTTTTCCACCCCCTCACTTTCAGTCTGTATGTGTCCCTAGGTCTGAAATAGGTCTCTTGTAGACAGCATATATATGGGTCTTGTTTTTGCATCCATTCAGCCAGTCTGTGTCTTTTGGTTGGGGCATTTAATCCATTTACATTGAAGATTATTATCAATATGTATGTTCCTGTTACCATTTTCTTAATTGTTTTGGGTTTGTTTTTGTGGGTATTTTTCTCCTCTTGTGTTCTTGCTTAGAGAAGTTTCTTTAGCATTTGTTGTAAAGCTGGTTTGGTGGTGCTGAATTCTCTTAGCTTTTGCTTGTCTGAAAAGCTTTTGACTTTTCCATTGAATCTGAATGAGATCCTTGCTGGATAGAGTAATCTTGGTTGTAGGTTTTTCTCTTTCATCACTTTTAAGTATATCCTGCCACTACCTTCTGGCCTGCAGAGTTTCCGCTGAAAAATCAGTTGATAACCTTATGGGGATTCCTTTGTATGTTATTATTTGTTTTTCCCTTGTTGCTTTTAATATTTTTTGTTGTATTTAATATTTGTTATTTTGATTAATATGTGTCTTGGTGTGTTTTTCCTAAGGTTTATCCTATATGGGACTCTCTGTGCTTCCCGGACTTGGGTGACTATTTCCTTTCCCATGTTTGGGAATTTTTCAACTATAATCTCTTCAAATATTTTCTGAGACCCTTTCTTTTTCTCTTCTTCTTCTGGGACCACTATAATTCAAATGTTGCTGTGTTTAGTGTTGTCCCAGAGGTCTCTGAGATTGTCTTCCATTGTTTTCATTCTTATTTCTTTATTCTGCTCCTCAGCAGTTATTTCCACCATTTTGTCTTCCAGCTCACTTATTCATTCTTCTGCCTCAGTTATTCTGGTTTTGATTCCTTCTAGTGTATTTTTCATTACAGTTATTATGCTGTTCATCTCTCTTTGTTGTTCTTTAGTTCTTCTGGATCTTTGTTAAACATTTCCTGTATTTTCTCAGGCCGTGCCTCCATTCTATTTCCAAGATTCTGGATCATTTTTATTGTCATTACTCTGAATTCTTTTTCATGTAGCTTGCCTAGTTCCTCTTCTTTTATTTGGTCTTGTAGGTTTTTACCTTGCTCCTTCATCTCTGTGATATTTTTTGCTGTTCCATTTTTTTTTTTTTTTTTATGAGTGGGATTGTGTTCCTGTCTTACTGGTTGTTTGGCCTGAGGCTTCCAACACTGGAGTTTGTAGGCTTTTGGGTAGAGCTGGGTCTTGATGCTGAGATGATGAACTCCAAGAGACCTCACTCAGATCAGTGTTCCCTGGGGTCTGAGGTTCTCTGTTAGTGTGCAGTGGTTTGGACTCAGAGCTCCCACCACAGGAGCTTCAGCCTGACCCCAGGTTCATGAACCAAGATCCCACAAGCCACCTGGGGCAGAAAAGAAAAAAAAGAACAATAACAAAGTAAAAGATGAAATCAGACTAGGAAACTAACAGATATGTTAGGAAGAATATAAATAAATATATATAGATGAATCAACAACCAGAAGGTACATCAGTACCACAATAGTAAAAAGAGGAGGAGGGAAAAGAAAAGGAAAAAAAAAAGTGGGGGGGAAGGCCTTGGCTGTGGAAAGCACGGCCTAAGCAAGGGTGAGGTTTGGGCAGTGGGTAGGGCCAGTGCTCAGGACCCACAGGGCTGGAAAGGGCCCTGGGGGCTGAGGGGGGTGGCTTAGGTTCAAGGAACAGAAGGGGCCCAGGCATGACCCCCACCTCTGATCTCGGAGGGCAGGGGACCTCATCTGGGAGCCCAACAGGCTTCCTGAGCTCGATTGAGCAGCCCAAACACCCTCTTCTCCTCTCCTCTCCTGCTCCTCCAGTCTGGGGTCTGGGAGGGCCCCTCCTGCCTGCCTCTCCTGATCTCCCCGGCCTCCCTCCTATGCCCCCGGGACCAACGTGGCCAGGCGGGGAAGGGGGAGCCTTGGAGGGCAGGGGACCAGCCTGGAATCTCAGCAGGCTTCCCATGCCCAAGTGGGCGGGGCAGTTGCCCTCTGCTCCTCCTGGAGGGCCCTTCCCACCTGCCTCTACTGTTCTCCCCTTGGCCTCCTTCCTATGCCCCTAAGGACCCACGTGACCTGGAGTGGGGCTTTGGAGGGCAGAGGATTGGCCTGGGAGCCCAGCAGGTGTCCTGAGCCCAAGTGGGTGGGGCAAATGCCATCAACTCCTCTCCTGCTCTTCCTGCAGGGTGCCTCCTGCAGGGCCCCTCCCACCTGCCTCTCCTGATCTCCCTGGCCTTCCTCCTATGCCCACAAGGACCCACACAGCCTGGAGGGGGCTTGGAGGGCAGGGGATCGGCCTGGGAGCTCAGCAGGCTCCCTGGCCTGAGTGGGCCAGGTGATCGCCCTCCACTCCCCTCCCACTCTTCCTCTTCCCGGAGAGTCCCTCCCAGCTGCCTCTCGTGATCTCCCTGCACTCGGGGGCACCGATCTTGTCTGGCCTCCACTTCTCCTCCCACCTCTGTCCCCCTACATCCTACCAGCTCACTCTGGGGTTCCTCCCATCTTGGGGGTCAGAGTCCCCCACCAGCAGTCGGCAGGCACCCTAGTTGTAGGGAGATGCTAACTTTGCGTCTTTCTACACTGCCATCTTGACTCCTCCCCACTCTGTTTTTAATTTTTGAGGAACCTCCGTACTGTTTTCCATAGAGGGTGTACCAAATTATGTTCCCACCAACAGTGTGCAAGGGTTCCCTTTTCTCCACAGCCTTGCCAGCATTTGTTATCTCTTATCTTTTGATAATAGCCATTCTTACAGGTGTGAAGTGATAGCTCATTGTGGTTTTGATTTACATTTCCCTGATGATTAGTGATGTTGAGCTTCTTCTCATGCATCTGTTGGCAATCTATTTGTCCTCTTGGGAAAACGTCTCTTCCACTTTTGCCCATTTTTAAATCCAATTGTTTGTTGGGTTTTTTTTAATTGACTTTTATGAGTTTTTTAAGTATATTTTTGATAGTAATCCTTTATCAGATACATGATTTTCAAATATTTTGTCCCATTCAGTAAGTTACCTTTAGTCTTGTTGGTGCTTTCCTTTGCTGTGCAGAAGCTTTTTAGTTTGATGTAGTCCCATGTGTTTATTTTTGTTTTTGTTGCCATTGGTTTTGGTGTCAAATCCAAAAAAATAATCACTAAGACTGATGTCAAGGAGCTAGCCACCTATATTTTTCTTTTAGGAGCTTTATGGTTTCAGGTTTTACATTCAAATGTTTAATCCATTTGAGTTTACTTTTGTGTATGATGTAAGATAACAGTCCACTTTCTTTTTTTTAACACGTGGCTGTCCATTTTTCCCAGCACTATTTACTGAAGAAACTATCCTTTCCCCTTTGTATATTCTTGGCTCCTTTGTCATAAATTAATTGAGCTTATATGAGTGAGTTTATTTCTGGGCTCTGTATTCTGCTCCATTGATCTATGTGTCTGTTTTCATGCCTATACCATACTGTTTTGATTACTATAGCTTTGTATAATAGCTTGAAATCGGGAGAATGCCATTTTTCTTGGAGAGTGTATGTGGATCTGTTATTATATAATTTTTTTTACGTGTAAGTATTAGAAATCTATAATTTGAAGAATAGGGTAAGTTATAAAATACTAATAATTGGGGGCTTATACCAGTCAGACACAATGTAAACCTTTTACCTATTTTATCTCATTTAATTCTCAAAGTATTATTTTGAAATAAATATTACTGTCCTCATTTTAAAAAATGAGGAAACTGAAGCTTAGAGAAGTTCAGTAGATTGCCTAAGGACTTACAGATGGTATGTAATTTCACTGAGATCCAAACTACAATTAATTAATTAATAATTAGTTTTAATATGTCTCGGTTTAGTATCATTTATTATTAACATATGGTGTTTACTTTTTTTCTGTAGACATCCATTATTGTCTGAAGGGACAGTTGATTTACGTTCAGAAACTAAGGTAAGAAATCAAACTTTTTGTGAATGTGATTATATTCTGTAGAATTTAGGTTGTTTTTTATATTTTTCTCTCTTTTTTTGGTATTTATTATTCTCACTTTTATTGTGTTTATTGCAGGTAGGGTAGGGGGTGTTTTCTTTAAAATGCTTTTCCTGAGTCACAAGAACTCCAGGGCCCCTGCATATGAGTGGGCAGCTGGCACATGTCACTCCTGCAACATTTCTGGAAAGAAGGGGCAGGCAGGCCCTCCCCCAAAGGGCTCCCCAGTCCAGCTCTGCCGGCCTCAGCCCCTCTGAAATAGAAACCCAAACCCCAGAAGCACCCCACCCCTTGGGCTCACGAAGCTGGATGTGCATCCCCGCTACCCCACAAGCGGCTTCCTCTCCCTCCTTCCTACCCCCTTTCCTTGGGCTTCTCCGTGCTCCCCTTGTGGGCACTTCAGCCCCAACCTGCCTGCTTCCCGCGCTGCCCTGGAAGATGCTTTCGTATTTGCCAGGCTTGCCTGTTGTCTACAAGACCCAGGATGCTCACCCGGTACACTCCGGCTGATTCTGGCTGGGCACCCTTCCCCCACCCCTGGTTGCCTCTACCCTGTGACAGTGCACTGGCCTATGGGGTAGAGGCAACCAGACCCACCAGCCTCCCACAAGCTTGAAGGGAGCAGGTCCTAGGGCCCACAGCACGCCTTCCAGTAACAGCTAGAAATAGAATATCAGCCTTGATATTCAGAAGGGATGTCTTTATGAAATGTTGCTCGTAAAATGAATTGAGTCCTTTTTTGTCTCATAACTTCACTGAACAATTTGGAGATACATTGGAAAAATTCTAAGTGAAATTAAGTTTTCTCTCCAAAGCCCAAATTCACTAGATTAGAAGATCTGAAAAAGAAAAGTATTCATATACAAAGAAGGTGATTGGGAAGGTTTATTCATTCATTTAAATATTTACAGTGTGTAGAGATCACTAGTCCAGGTGCTGGGCACACTGGGATGTACAAATTCCCTACCCATGGGAATCTAGACCTAAGGAATAGTATGCGTGGAGGCCTATCTGAAGAATAATTGGTGAGGAGAATTAAATTCTGTGAATCAGAACATCCAGTTTAACATTCCACTAACTAGTTGAACATCCTTGAATCTTTGGGACTCATTTTCTTGTCTTTAAATCTCTTGGTCCTAGTAATAACTAGGTCTTTTCCAGGTATACAATTTTGGATTCCTTAAAATATAATTTGATTAATTCTCTGAAAATAGGAATTCTTCTGTGTAGCAATCTAGCAATTCTGTGTATTACACAGTTGCCTTCCTTGGCAAGTGATTAGAGTCTAATTAATTAATCATTTAAATTCTTTTCATGTAGCCAAAGACCAACAACGTTGATCCAATAAACAAAGTTCAAAACAAATTACACTCTGCAAGTAAAGGAAGGAAATCAAATTCAAGGTATAGTACAGTTTTTAAAGTATTACTTTTTAAAAAATTTTATAATTTATACTATCATTGTTCTTAATAAGATCTGTTTCTCTAGATCTTTTTATACCCAAAATATACAAAATTGTACTCTGTATTTCTTCTCCACATTTAATAATTTAAAACATCTTCTAATCAGAAATGTCTTGCAACAGTTAATGAACATTTTGTATTGTTCTCTTAAGCAAAATTGCCAGATTTCAAATTTTTTAAACATTATTTTTAGCTAGATATTTTCTTTGATCAGAAACTAGAACCTAGATGTCTTTCTCTGCCTAGTTCTCTCAAATAGACTTACACTTTTTGAACACCATGCATTATTGTATATTGTATACATTGAGATACAGAATGATTTTGGCATGCTCTCAATAAAACTATAGTATAGTTATAATTTACATTCTATTGTTTTTGGTGAGAAAGACTTCAAGACTGTTTTTAGTACTTTAAGCATAAAAAGGGGACCCAAGAGGTTCTTTAGGATAGTAGACCTTCTAGAAAAGGAGGGTCACACCTGCAGTGGATGGTACCAACCAGCTTCTAATTCACAGTAAATTGTTAAATTTATGTCTATTGCTTACCCAAACTGATAATTGCATTATAATTCTAGAAGAATTCTTATTAATCCTTGTGTCTTTTAATTGGCTAAGTAAAATTTTTGTTTTTTGAACAAAAGAGACAAAAAATAGGGTGAAAGGATAAGGAAGAATAAAACTAAAATTGATAGAAGAGAACATATGTTACATACATAAGTACTGTACATACATCAGTACTGTATATACATACATAACTGGAAAGGGTTATCTTATTTTCAGACTTCAAGTTTACTTTTTAAATAAAAGGTTCTTTTTCCAAAAGAATTCTAAAGCATTTGCTTATGTGTTAAAAGTAAGTTAGGCTTTAAAGTAAGTAAAAGGTTAAAAGTAAGGCTTTTGGAAGCAAACTTGATGGATTAGGCCTGGCTCATTCCTCAACGCCATTAGAAGTGACTTTCATTTCATATTTCTCTCTTCATTAAAGTAAAAAAAAATCAACTTTTGGTAAACTTTGATCCTGCTTAAAATATGTTTTTTTAGGTGGAAAAATGAGTTTGAGCTAAGAACTGTTCACTCTGTAATTCTTTCTTAAGAGGTATTATTCTTCAGTGTTTGCAGAATTATGACTAGAGTGATATCAAATTGTACAGTTCTACTCCAGCAGCATGTAAAATTAAAAGCCCCAGGCTGGATTTCACCTAGGAGGCCAAGTTCAGTACTCTTAGTTTTGATGTTCACTTGTTTGGGAGTGTTGACCTAGAACACATAATTCTCCAGCAAAAAAATGGGATTATTCGGGATCAGCAGAATATTGCACTTCAGGGTCTGAAATGATGGCGAGCCACGTGCAAGTCTGCACACAGCAAGGCAAGGAGAACTCTTTTATAGAAGGAAAAAGGAAGTTGGGAGGGCTAGAGTAAACAAAGGTTTTTCATTACCTGACTTGTTGCCAGGAGTGAAGAGGAGCCTTCCTTCACACTGCGGGGCTCTACTGTTGTCTCAGGGTGTGAGAGCTCCCCCTTCTGGTCTGCTGACTGTTAAATTGAGGCTTCTGTTTATTAATATTTTACACTGGCCATGTCTAAGTGGCCTCATAAAGCCTCCTCTAGCTCAGTGGTTGTGTGATTCATAAAGACTGAAAGTCTACTAAGTCTCTTGTAATATAGTCCTTGAAAGTATCAATTGTAGATTTCATCATAAATTTAAAATTTATAATAATTTTGATCTGCTTTTTTATTTGGATAAAGGTCATATCTGGGAGTCATATCTCCTTTTTTATTATATGTATATAATATATAATGTGCCTATATGTGGTTTTTTTAGAGTAAAATTGAAATACTCTGATGTACAAACTGCCAGCGATGTTGCCATTCCAGAGGATTTCTCAGACTTTTCTCTTGCAAAAACAATTAGCAAAATTGAAGGGCAACTGGAAGAAGAAGGCTTACCTGATTATATAGATGATGGTATTTTTTGTGGTGTTAGTGAAGACATTGGAACAGGTAGGTGGTTTTTGGTTTATTTTTATCCTTATATCACAATTATTTAGAAAATGTAGTGATGTCTTGCATTTGTTTAATGAAATAAAATTGGTTTTGAGTCAATAATTGTTGAAAATGGATGATGGGTGACTAGGGTTTCATTGAACTCATCTCACTACTGTTGTATATGTTTGATGTTTTCCATTATAAAAAGTAAAATTAAAAAGAACTGTCTGGGGAGTTCCCTTGTGGTCCAGTCGTTAGGACTTGGTGCTTTTACTGACGTGGCCTTGGGTTCAATCCCAGGTCGGGGAACTAAGATCCCACAAGCCGTGTGGTGTGGCTAAAAAAAAAAAGAGAGAGAGAGAAAAGGAAAAAAAAAAAAAAGAACTCTCTGGTGTTGGTTTCATTGACCACTTTTCAAATAAGTTAAATGCCCCATAGCTTAGCATTAAAACATTGAAATAAATTTTTGAAAACCATATTTCTTTGAATTCCTTCCATTTAATGTTACTGAATTCTCTTTATTGTGTGTTAAATCAACACATGTTAAAGGATAAATGAATTATTGATGTAGTATCAGGTAAAATAATGAATTTTCTAATGAATATTATTTTCTTTCTTATAAATTCATTCTCTGCATACCGCTAGAAAAATAATACTTAGTCTAGATCATCAGAAACATGTTAGTTACCAGTAGTGCCTCTAAAATTGTTGAATTTATGAGGAGCCACCTATGCTATTATAAATTTAAAAAAAGACAGTCGAGTGTATATGAACAGTTAATGCTGAACTATAATTAATTGTAGGTTCAGACAAACTGCTTTAGCCTCTCTGTAATAGCAATTTCTTCACTTGAAAATGAAGCAGTTTGTATTAAATGATCACGAAGTTTACCCTTAAAATTCTCTGATTCTGTGAAAATCACAACGATTTACATGTGTAATTATTGTGCTACATGCTAGTTAGTCATAAACGCAGATTAATTCATTTATGCATTTATTACGTTTACTGACCTATCCAAGCTTTCTGGGGCTAATTGTTAGGAACGAAGGTAAGTGAAGCAAAGAGTTAACCTTCATGCCTCTGTTAAGATACCTTCAGGGATGCAATGGTCAGATGTTGGCTGTTCCTCAGTTTACAGTCACCCATAGCCTTGTTAACAAAGGTCCTCCTCCCAGTATGGGAACCAGCACAGACTACCTTAAATTACTGCTTTTTTTCTTATTGCTGAATGACCTCTTTGCATCCCTGTCTTCCCTTTTCAGAATCTTTGGCCAAGGTGTCTCCCCTTTTAGGGGAGTTTTCACTTATTCCACATGATTGCCTAGAATGGCTGGGTTATGTGTGGGAGGAAACAATAAAAAAGTAGTTTAGGAGCACAGACTGTTTTATAAGACTAAAGTTGGAGTGGGATGGTTGGGGAGGTTAATGCTGTGGACCAACAGAGACAGAGCACTCAAATCCTTGATGATACTACCGGGGTTAGAGTTGGGGAGAAAAAGAGATGCGAAAAGTCATGCTCTCCCATTGCTTCTTCCTTCTTTCCCCCTAGAGACCAACTACTGCAAACCTCACACTTTTAAGTTTATTGTTTCCCTTCTGTCCTCTGCTAACCTGGAGTTACATGAGAAGCTAGAAGGAGAGTTGAGGCTGGAAGAAGCTAGGTGGGGTTAGAGCCAACCATTGTTCATTGGCTCCATGTAACACAGGGGACTTCATAAGAAGAGCTTTGAAACAGGAAGTATGTGTGGAGATTTATTGTGCTCTGTGGAATTTGTCCTAATAACTTTCAGAGGCTATTCAGAGTGTTTACTCAAGATAAGTCCCATGAGGGCAAACCTTGTCTTGTAATATCGGTATTATGCCTGGAACATAGTAGAGACTTGATGTATATCTTTTTTTTTTTAATTTATTTATTTTTGGCTGCGTTCAGTCTTTGCCTCTGGGCACGGGCTTTCTCTAGTTGCGGCGAGTGGGGGCTACTCTTCGTTGCAGTGCGTGGGCTTCTCATTGCGGTGGCTTCTCTTGTGGAGCACGGACTCTAGGCACGTGGCCTTCAGTAGTTGTGGCATGTGGGCTCAGTAGTTGTGGTTTGCAGGCTCTAGAGCACAGGCTCAGTAGTTGTGGCGCACGGGCTTAGTTGCTCCGCGGCATGTGGGATCTTCCCAGACCAGGGCTTGAACCTGTGTCCCCTGCATTGGCAGGCGGATTCTTAACCACTGTGCCACCAGGGAAGTCCTGATGTATATCTTTTTAATGAATGATTGAATGAATTATGAGTGACTTCTAAGTTCAGTTTTTACTTTATTTACTTTTATAGGCCTAAAACCCTCAGAGATTTACTGATATTATTGAATAAAGAACTTTTGATAGCAATACCAAAGGTAGATGTTCGTGAGGGGTTTGTGGGAGAAAGCTTCGGTAGTAAGGTATTACTGCGTTTTTTTGCTTCTCAGACACGTCACTACATTTTAACATCTGTGAAATTGGGATGTGTATTACAGTCAGTGGCATTTTATAATTACAATGGCTGGGATTGAAGTTGAGTTTTGCTAGACCTGTGTTTGCTTCTGCCAAACACCTGGGGGCATTACCGATCTGAGACCACTTTAAGTTCTGTTTGAGGTGTTTCGAACCACCTGGGTAAGTATGAATTCAGTCTGCAAACTTATGTGAGTACTTGGCTTGTGGTTCCGATTCTCAGGAAAAGTTTTTGTTTTTTTCCTCTTTCTTTACTTGGTTCCAGTGTAACAGTTCCTTTCTGTTGGATGGATTTTTCATTTACCTCTACATTAGGGGTATGTAGTGTCTTGAGTGTTCCCAAACAGGGATCTCCTATTAGAGAGACTATTAGACTCCCCATCTTGAGCCTTTTTTCCCTCATAAAATAATAGTCTGTCTTACAATTGATGGCATCTTAGATTCAGTGAAAGACAATAAATATTATTATTAAATTGACACAGAAGCACAGATCAGATTTCTGAAGGCCAAACTCCATGTTATGCAGGAGGAATTGGATAATGTTGTATGTGAATGCAATAAAAAGGTAAGTTTTTAAAACCTTTCAGAATAAATGCTGTAATATTCAAAGTCATTTTAGGAGTAGTTTTCAATTTTATTTTAAAAATAGCTTCATTGAAGTATAATTCACAATTAACTTTTAAATTCAGAAATTTAAATACTGAACTTTATTCTGAGATGTTGAATTTTCACAGAGCTGAAGAATTTTAAATACTTGCCAGCAATTAGAATGCTGTGTATTAGACTTACAAGTGTAAGCTATTAAGTGCAAATAAAACATCTGTCTTCCATTTTGAGGATGAAAATAGAATGTAACTCGTTTTTCTTAGTGAAATTGGTGTAAATATCTCACCAAAGATCATACGAAGCTCTTTTATGTTTTCTGCTTTATGTTTTGATACCAAATCATGTATGTTTTTCCATATAATCTATAATTTCATAACTATAGGAGGATGAAATTCAGGATTTAAAGTCTCAACTGAAAAATTCTGAAGGAGATTGTATGAGACAGCAGCGGACAATTAATTTGCAACAGTCTCAAACAGAAAAGTATAAAACTCTTTTTGAAGAAGCAAGCAAGAAATGTGATGGATTACAGCAACAGTTGTCTTCAGTAGAAAGGGTAATAATTTTGCTATTTTTTCCTAATCTAATGCCAAAGATGCACAAAAACATATAAGTTACATGTTTGCATAGATACCACTTTTCATTGTTTAGTTATTTTGTTAGTGTATACTAAAAACTCTTCCCCCATTATTAGGAGAGTATTTTTTAACAACTTTATTGAGATATAATTCACAAACATCTCACCCTTTATACAATTTGGTAGCTTTTAGTGTATTCACAGAGTTGTGCAACCATCACCACTCTCAAGTTTAGAATATTTTCATCACCCAAAAAGTCACCCCATACCCTTTAGCCTCAGTACCTCTATCCTCTTCCCCTAATCTCCTCTAGCCCTAGGCAACTTCTCATTTATTTTCTGTCTTGATAGATTTGCCTATTCTGGACATTTCTGTATATGTAGAATCATACAGTATGTGATACTTAGTAACCAACATTTTTCACTTTAAGTATTGTTTTTAGGGTTCATCAACATTGTAGCGTGCATCAGCACTCCATTGCTTTTTATAGAGCAATATTCTTTTTTATAGAGTATATGGATGTAATACATTTTATTTATCTGTTTATCAGTTGATGGACATTTGGGTTGTTTCTACTTTTGGGCTGTTTTGGATAATGCTGCTGTGAACATTCATGTACAAGTTTTTGTGTAGATATATGTTTTTGTTTTTCTTGGGTATATACCTAGGAGTAGAATTGGTAAATTATAACCTTACATTTAACCTTTTGAGGAACTGCAGGCTGTTTTCCAAACCAGCTATACCATTTTTACATTTCTACCAGCAGTATATAAGGGTTCCAATTTCTCCACATCCTACCAACACACGTTAGATTGGTGGTATCAATCCCCTGTGGATACTGAGGGATGACTCTATACAGTTCTATTATGAATTTTGACAAATGCATAGTCACATAGCCATCACCATAATTGAGATACAGAGCACTTTCATCATACCAGAAAATTTCTCTGTGAATTTAGTCAAGTCCTCTCCCTACTCCCAACCTCAGGCAACCACTGATCTGTTTTTGATTCTTATATTTTGGCCTTTTCCAGAATGTCATATAAATAGAATTACATAGTAGCTTCCTGAGTCCGATCACTTAGCATAATGCATTTGCGATTCATCCATGTTGTAGTCTGTTCCTTTTTATTGTTGACTGTAACATTGAATGGGTATTCCACATTTTGTTGACCTTCTCATCTGGAAAGAAAAATTAATTATAGTATCTAATAGTCTAAGCCTGTGCTGTCAAAAATGGTAGCCACTCATATGTGGCTATTCCAACTTGTAAAGTGCTGTAAGTGTAAATCAACATCAAATTTTGAACATTAAATACGAAAAACAATGCAAAATCTCATTAATATTTTAATGTTTACATGTTGAAATGATAATATTTTGGATATACTGGGATAAGTGAGATACAGTAATAAAATTTATTTTAAGTATTTCTTCTTAAAGTGACTGCTAGGGAATTTAAAATTACGTACATAGTTTGTACTATGTTTCAATTGCTCTAAGAAATAAAGGCAAGTGGTCTAAGAAAAAACAAGCTGTAATATCTGGGAAACAACTGTTTTAATTTGTCACCTTACCATTTGTCATCATCCATCCAAGCTGTGGTCATGTCACTGCTCTAGTCCACATAACTTGCCTGCATCTTTGATTCTTTTCTTGTTCTTAGCTCTCATACCCAATCCTGTGTTTTCTTTCCTCTAAATGTTTTCATTCATCTCTTCTTTTCAATTCCCATTGCCACTTCTTAGTTCAGGCTATTATTATCTTACTTCTGAATCCTTCTCACTGGTTATTTTATGTCCTTTCTCTTTTTCTTATCCACGGTATTCTGTACCCTGTCAAAAGATTAATATTCTCAAAGGACCACATTGATTATAACTCTACTTTCATTTGGGCAGAAAAGGAACTAACATTTTTTGAGTGTTACCTGCCAGGTAAAACACATTTTACAAAAGGGAAACTGAGTCTGAGAGGATAAGCAAATTGCCTAAGGTCAAACAGGAATGGCAGAGCAGGATTCAAACTCTGTTTATCTGACTCTATAAATCACGTAAACTCTTTCTCCAACTCCCCAGAATTAAATAGACTTAAACACACAGCTGTTTTAAAATCTCGTTATTTAGAATTAATATTTGAAACTTTTAGTTCACAGTGAATGTACTAGGGCATTATGATACACTGGCTAGCTGAAGATTTTTATGAAAATTTGCACTGGCTCTGAGCTTCTCAGCTTGAATTCCTATCTACCTACCAGCCAGAGAGGCATAACATAACTCTCCTGGATTATGTGAAACTCAAGATTGAATCTTTCTTACTAATTCATTTTTTATATCTCTAGAAACACACCTAGTGTACAGTTCACAGAAATGCAAAACAGAGCTTAAGTAGCTGCTTCTGTAAACCTGCAAAAACCAACTATTAAAACATTGTTATGTATATTAACTTATTTTAGCTGCTGATTCTAACAGATGAAGTCATTTTTAAAATATAAAAACAGAGGGCTTCCCTGGTGGCGCAGTGGTTGAGAGTCCGCCTGCCGATGTAGGGGACACTACTACTGCCCCGGTCTGGGAAGATCCCACGTGCCGCGGAGTGGCTAGGCCCGTAAGCCATGGCCGCTGAGCCTGTGCGTCCGGAGCTTGTGCTCCGCAACGGGAGAGGCCACAAAGCATTCTACTCCAGCTTTGGATTTTATTTTTCTATCACTCCCCCAAATTTCCTTTGTGTCTCTACCCCATAAATCCCCAGTGTCTAATCATAGCCCCAGGCAGCCACTGATTTGCATTCTTTTACTACAGATTTGTTTTCTTTGTTATAAAATTTCATATAGATGGATTCCTAAGTATGTACTTCTTTGCATCTGTCTTCTTCAGCATAATGTTGTTGACGTTCATCAGTGTTGTTGCTTGTTTTGTGATTCATTCCCTTGTATTGCTGAGTGGTATTTATTTATGGATTTACACATTTCATGTGTTCACCAGTTGATGGGAATTTGAGTTTTTTCCAGCTTTGGACTATAAAAAATAAAGCCACTATGAATTTTCATGTACAAGTTTTTGTGTAGATACATGTTTTTGTGTAGACACATTCAGTATCATTCATGATGTTGATTAAATACCTAGTAGTAGAACTTCTGAGTATTATATAGAGTATATGTTTAACTTTTTAAGAAACTATCAAACTATGTTCTAAAGTGATTGTACCATTTTTCATTCCCAATAGCAATGTATGAGAGTTCCAGTTACTCTATATCCTCACTTAACACTTGATATTGTCAGTCTTTTTAGTATTAGCCACTCTAGAGGGATAGAAGTAGTATCTCAGTATAGGCTTATTTGTATTTCCCTGATAACTATTGATCTCGAGCATGTTTTAAGATGCTTATTGGCTGTTCATATATCTTCTTTTGTTAAGTGTATGTTCAAATTTTTTGCCCAATTTAAAAACATTGGGTTGTAGTAAGAGTTCTTTATGCTTCCTTATATAGTTTCTTTGCTACAAAGAATATGTATTGTGAATAATTTCTCCCAATCTGAATTGGCTTTTAAATTTTCTTAACAGTGTCTTTCAAAACCACACAGTGTGTGGTTTTGTGCTTTTTTCATCCTATTTGAGAAGTCTCTGCCCACAAATTTTATTAGTGTATATAAGTCTATTTGGATTTTCCATAACTTTTTGAGTCAGTTTTGGTAATTTATGTTTTTCAAGAAATTTTTCCAACTCATCTAAGTAGTCAAATTTATTGGCATAAATTTGAACATAATATTCATGTATTATACTTTTATTTATATTTTTAATATCTGTGATAATGACCCCATTTCAGTCCTGATATTAATAATTTGTCTCTTCTCTGTTTTATTCTTAATCAGTCTAGTTACATACTTATCAATTTCATTGAACTTTTCAATGATTCAGCATTTGACTTCGTTAGTTTTTCTGTACTGTTTGTCAGTTTTCTGTTTATTGATTTCTAACCTCATCTTTAGCATTTCCTTCATACTTATTTGGGCTTAATTTGCTCTTATTTTTCAGGATTCTTAAAGCAGAAGTTTAGATAATTGATTTTCTACTTCTTTTCTCACATAAGCATTTAAAGCTATAAATTTTCTTCTAAGTGCTGCTTTATCTGCATCCCACAAAATTTGAGACTGTCTTTTTATTTTCATTAAGTTCAAAGTATTTTCTAATTTCCTTCCTGATATTTCTTTTATTTAACATCTTTATTGGTGTATAATTGCTTTACACTGGTGTGTTAGCTTCTGCCATATAACAAAGTGAATCAGCTGTATGTATACATATATCCCCATATCCGCTCCCTCTCACCCCCTCATCCCACCCCTCTAGGTGGTCACAAAGCACCGAGCTGATCTCCCTGTGCTATGCGGCTGCTTCCCACTAGCTATCTCTTTTACATTTGGTAGTGTATATATGTCAGTGCTACTCTCACACGTCGTCCCAGCTTACACGTCCCCCTCCCTGTGTCCTCAAGTCCATTCTCTAAGTCTGCGTCTTTATTTCTGTCCTGCCCCTAGGTTCATCAGGACCTTTTTTTTTTTTAGATTCCATATATACGTGTTAGCATACGGTTACTTCAGTCAGTATGACAGACTCTAGGTCCATCCACCTCACTACAAATAACTCAATTTCGTTTCTTTTTATGGCTGAGTAATATTCTATTGTATACATGTGCCACATCTTCTTTATCCATTCATCTGTCGATGGACACTTAGGTTGCTTCCATGTCCTGGCTATTGTAAGTAGTGCTGCAATGAACATTGTGGTACATGAACTCTTTTGGAATTATGGTTTTCTCAGGGTATATGCCCAGTAGTGGGATTGCTGGGTCATATGGTAGTTCTATTTTTAGTTTGTAAGGAACCTCCATACTGTTCTCCATAGTGGCTGTATCAATTTACATTCCCACCAACAGTGCAAGAGGGTTCCCTTTTCTCCACACCCTCTCCAGGATCTATTGTTTGTA